TTYYCYWAAAACGAACTTTTTTACTGTGCCTCTCGAAGTGTAGCAAATGTAACGYAAATGCAGTTATAGATAGCGCATCTCTTAAAGTCTCAAAACGCTTTACAGTTCTGTATGCGTACATTGCAGCCATTTGGTAAAAGTGCAAGTGCCGCTTTCCAATTTTAATTTAATTTCTTAATTTTTAATTTAACCTTTTATTTTAATTTAATTTTAATTTTAATTTATTGTCTTAAAAGACATCGGCAGCTTCTCGGATGCAATTGCGTACGATGCGTTTTCAGTTCATTTACTTTTTATTTTTTATGCTCGAGGAGGGTTCCTAGGAACCCATGGAACCCCCCCTGGATCCGCCACTCTAGGCATAATAAGTGTACTTTCCCTTCAACAAAATTTGATTCATCACTACAGTTTGTCACAATGGCTCGCGCATATTGTTTGTATTATTAATTAAATCACTCATCAACACCGGGTTTGTCATTTAAGTCATTAGTTGTCGACTATAGCTAGGCATAGTTAACACTATGAGCTAGGCTATAGCTATAGCTACGCGTTTTAGTTCTTAAAATGAGACTAGAAGACTTTGGCGAGTACAAGAGAGTGTTCTTAACATCATCAAACACTTACATTGATTTTTATTGATTTTTTTTTAGGTATAGCTTTGATATCGGTCTCATCCACTTTGTCGCATTTGATACAGAGGTATTCGATTACTACCCTGATGACGTGAGTAGCATTTATATTGTATACATCATGATAACAAACTATATTGAAATTAGCGCGGAAATTACTAATTATTTTGGGTGTCGCACTTAGAGTGGCGCTCTTTTTAAAAGTTCTAAAGTCAGTTACGATATTGTATATTAAACTTAAAAAAGGGAAGTTAGCCACTGAAGCAAATTCAAAACAACAAAAACAACTAAACAATACAAAAAATTATAACTGTAACCTAAAACAAAAACAAGACAATATGAAACAACTACAAAAAACTACCTGAGCGGCATATGAAGTTTTGACTWTATTTTTGGGCTGTTCAGCAGCGTATGAGACATGATTCAAACACCTTATTGTTTTATATCTTAGGGTCAAATTCAAAGGCAGTTTAACTGGTTGGAACAGGACCTTGCCAAGGTATTTAAGAAATCTAAATGTTCACGTTGTTGTTTTCTTCATCTGTATTATTTTACAGTCCAGTTGAATTTGTTGGTGCATTGCTTGAGCATGGAACAACRGGTAACAAAAGTGAAGACAAGGGTACCTTAGCCCAAATCCTGCGCAATAAATTTCATTTGGTACCTTAACTAAGTGTGTCACAAAATATAAGGATGCAAATTAGTCAGAACGTTCTGGGTGAACGTGCGCCGCGCTTTTCTGTGAATTAATCACTTGACTTGATTTATCCATAGGCAAATGCAAATAGAGACAAAGTTCCATGGATTATATCACTAGCACACAAGGTAAGAACTGAACCGGTCTGTACAATGGAGTGTCGTAAACTGTCATGCACAAAGAAAAAAAGATTTACTTTAAAACGACACATTCGGATAGATCGGATAGATCGTTTAACCAGACCGCGCAATCAGACCGCCCATTTCATGAATACTGGACTAAAAACAAAAATTGAATGTGGAAATATAAAGGTCTTCGGATAAAATGGCGAATGTCAATTTTCGAGCGGCGATTGCACGTAGTAAACATTAGCTCCATTTAGTCTCCATTTCTATATAAGGTGAATCCAATAGGTAAAAGTTTGTTTATCAAATCAGTATAACCATAGTCCCGACAATCGCCGTCGTTTGCCGTTCTCCCGACAACATTTTTTGAAATAGAATAGAATATGTATATTTAAGCTGTCAAAACTAATAAATATATCAATTAATCAACAAACTTATAACTTCAGCCCAAGCAAGCAATTAAACCCAAACAATTTAGACAATTAACTGAAAGTCGGCTGAAGTGCAAGGGTGTGCCCTGTTCTTTTTCAGAGTGACTTCATGGAAAGAACAAATTTCACATTAATTTCCCCACTGCTTCACAAGTACGGGGTTGACATCCATTTCTGTGGTCACTCGCACAACTATCAAAGGCATTTCCCGTGTAAGTATAATGTTAAAAGGAATCTAAAAGAATTTTCACGTCATCAGAAGGGTACAAAGTGRATTTAAGTGAATTGAGACGATCACAAATCTCATACATGGCCGACCTCTAGTTTCCAGCCTTATACATGCTCGCTAAATTCCCGCTCTTTGTCCCGCTTCGAAAACAATTCATAAAAATCACGACCCCCGGGGCAGCACGTTAAAAACGCGTCACGTCCCCATTCAGTGCCTCGCTAGCCCCGGGGGTCGGGGTTTTCAATTGAGTTTTTCGTTGACTAAAATTATATGAACCAGTTGATGTAGTACAACAATCCAACTATTCAGATTTACTAATTCATTGATTGATTGATTGTATAAATATTGTATTCATTTGTAAATATTGCGATTCTACTATTGTGGTCTATCTGTGGTGGTTTTGACTCAAAACGGCCGCAGTTACACTTAACCACAGTGCTGTCTTAAAAGTGGACGGGTATATTCTATAWTCTAGCCCAACAGAGCGTTTCTCGTTGTCTTTTTTAATTGGAGCAGACCAATGATCACGGAGAATATTTTGCTATCTTAGATATACGCCTYCATGAAGCACATGTAATAAGGTGATAAAGTGGGAATTGGCAAGCCAGCAAACCTACYGAAATGCTCGTCAATAATTTGAATTCATGCCACAGTTTGTTTTTGCTTCTAGATTACGAAGGTGACGTTGACCAACCTAAGAATCCAAATGTATATGAAAATCCCAGATACATGRCTGTGGTTGTTGCTGGTTCTGCAGGCTCTAAAGAACACATTTCTGAAGGATTGGGACCTAAAGAGCATTTAGCATTTCATGTGTTTGATTATGGGTAGGAACACGAACATTCTAATATGATTTTATGGTAAAATAGTTATTATCTGGAGGGAGGGCTTGTTTGTATAGGCGATTTAATTGAAGAACCAAAATAAAAACAAAATAAAACAAAGCAAAGCAAAACGAACAGCAACAACATAAAAGCAACAATAATGCAACAACAACAATAGCAAACAAACAAAAACGAAAAAAACAAAAACAAAAAAAAACATCATTTTCCCATTCATTGTCAATATACAAAGTTTTTCCATTTTCTCGAAATTTTCTTTTCGAGAAAGCAGAGTGGATAAACAACAATTTGACAACGAGATGTCGCCAACTGAAAAATTGGATATATAACGCGCGCTTTGATTGGCTGATGACCGTATTTATATCAGAGGACAGAGACACTGACAAYTATTTTGGCAGAATTTGTTTTTCGCTCGAAAAACGCAGAAAAATTGTATAAAAGAACCATAAACTTGTGTCTCTGGTGCTTCAACTCACACCGTATTTATACCAGAGGACAGAGACACGCGCGCCGTTTTATATTTCTAAATTATTGAGGATATACCACGGTAAAAATAATACATTTATTTTTTTGCGATCGTGGTATTTACTTCTATTATTTACCACGGCTCTTGACTAATAAAAAATCAAGAAAATTTACAATTGTAATTGAATTCCTTCTTGTCATATATAGGTATGGTCATCTACAGGCAGTTAATAAAACCCATTTAAACTGGGTTTGGGAGAATGCCGCGGTTAATCTGAATGAAAAAGTACAGGATCATTTATTGATTATTCAAGAAAACCATGGCATGAGGATGTCTGCTTAATCGGCGGCACAGTTGATGATCCAMTGCTGCATGAATTATAATCATTTTATTGAGTAGAGTGAAACTAATAACAAAAGTCCATTAAAATGGATCATTTTTATTAAAATAAAATAAAACTTAAACTCAAAATTTCGTGAACCTATCGTTTTATTTAGCAACGGTAGGCGCATAGCGTGGACTTTTTGGTGATTTCGAGCGTTTTGAGAGACATCAAAGGGCATAGCAAAGGAATCAATTTTATGTATTTTTCAGTAATTTTTTCCGTGAAAATTTTAATGTTTTCCTTGTCACTAGTACGCACGTGCGTATATGCGGAAACGATGCTAGGCGCCTGTTAGCGTACCCCCTAAATTCCGAAAACTAAAGATATGCTAGTAATCGGGGTGCCTGTAGCAACATTTGGGAACCCTGTTGTAATTACTCAACTGACAGATCACGTGATCTTTCACGTGAGTGTACTTCGACTTCTCTTCGMCTTCGGCAATGAGATCCGTGAAGAAGTGGCATGTGTGTTTTGACTTATTGATAAAAAGTGGTGCTTTTGGGACATGTCCTGAAATATAAAGTATCTATATCAGGTCAGAGTATTTATAAATCAATCTGTCATCAATATTGTTCTACGAAAATGACATTTGTTCTTTAAAAATGATGTTGAAGATGTTGTGAAATATTAGAAATGGCGGGAAAGCCAACTACTTTGTATGTGTGTCATTGTTTGACATGGTATCCACATTATTTTACACTTACTTGGAATGCTTTGCATTTCAAACGTTTTCTGTATGTTTAAAGTATAAATATCTATACAATTGTGAACTACGGAGACAATATCAACGTTGCTTGAATGGATATAAGCTTACTTGCATTTGTGAACACGAGTCCTTCGGTGACATTCGATGCTATATTCGAGTCATTTTACAACTAGATCCCGTTCAAGTTTGGGTGTAAATTTCTCAGGGTTCTTCTTGAAAGGTCCTTAATTGCAAATTTGGAGGGAAAGGATATTATTCTTTGAATCAGTCTTGATTGTTGCAAAGTAATGTTTTAGGGATCAATTTAGCCAAGCTTTGAAGCAAAATGATAGTATTTCAATCCTTTTTGCTATACCTGTTGTACTATTGTGCAATATGGTGGCCAAGAAATTAAAAGAGATTGAGAAAAATCTTCTCCAAAGAGAAAGTTCTTAAACAAGGTTGACTGCAATGTTTTTATTTTTGTGTTTGGTAAGACACAAGTTTAGTAACTGTATCTTTCTCTTTGTAATTGGTGTCCCTTGAAAATTAATCCTTAAAAAGCACTTGAAAGTCCTTTAATTTTGTATGAAAAAATCTGTACGAACCCTATTTCTAGTTGAAGAGGAATGCAGTTTCGTGATGGTGTTATATTGAAATCTAGTTTATTTACAATAACTGGGCAAGCAGTTCAGATCTTTTAAAATTATAACATTGGCGTGAATCATATACTTTGTATTTCCATTCCAACATAAATATCTAATAATTGCTCACATAAAGTATAACTTTTATATTTTTATGTTAACTGAAAACTTTCTCAGTTTTTTAACCAAGTAAGACTAAAATAACAGTTATACTTTTGGTACTAAAATGCTATTTACTGGGTGAACTTAACTTAGCCCCCTACAGTAATAGCAATAATAATATAGGACTCTTTTTTTAATTGTTTTGCAAAAAACATAATTTTAATAAGCCTACTTGTTCAAATTACTGGCCTACATTGCAAGCCCTCTAATTTTGTGAATTTAAGAGTGAGTATCCGTAACGATCAAACAAAATCGAAAATCCGTGGCAACGGCTGAAAAATCGATTTCGCTCATATTTTGTAGGTTGGTAGAGGAATGTTTCCTAAGAATCCCTATGTATTTGGTTTGCTTCAATTTTGCAATAAAACCGAGAAAATCGACTTTTTCTAGAGACACCTCGAAATGTTGATATTCGCTGTCGATTTTGGCTCGACTTTATGAAGCTCTAAATAAACACCAAGTAACGCAAACAGAAAAATACCTTTGAGCCCTTGTAACACCACACTTTGTTTATAAATAGCGTGACTTTGAGCGTGGTTAACGGATTAAAACATATTGAAATCGTTATTTTCCCTAGAGATGTATTTTAAGTCGCAAAAAGTAGGGTGTACAAACTGGCTAACTGTGAATTTGCGAAACCTTTAAAGCTCATGAAATCTGGATATTTTGTAGTTCTAACAATGTACTTTAAGAAGTTTGAATCAAATCTTTGGGCAATTGTTTTGAAGTACGCGAAAAAGCTCTCATATGTCACATAAACTTGACCTTTGGCGCAAACGGCCAAACAATAAATACAATGAATATAACACTGTCGAGCCAAA